AAATAACCTTAAACCAGCCTATATCTGATCCATTGGGATGATTAACGTATGATAAGCGTGGTAAAAAATAGGCTTTTGATTAAAAAATCAAAACAATACCTCACACCGCTCTGCTTATAGGTCCGATATTTGTATCAGTGAAACACCGAAACAATCAATAGGAACTGCAAAGACTCCATCACCATTCAGACCAACAATAAGGCCGTGTATTAATGTAGGGTATATCAAACACCACTGTACAAGATAGTGGTTCTGGTAGAACCTGAATGTTGGCAGACTTTAATTGGTCAGACAGTGTGTCTGTTGTTAGTCATTGTTATCACAGATCTGCGCTGATTGTTGACAGGTGGTCACTAGTCAATGCTAACAAGTCATTGTATTGTGATAGAAAGTGTTCAGTGTGTATGTCAAGTTGATTTGTCCTGTTTTGACAGTATGTGATGACAATTGGATATTATTCCAGAATGTATTATTATTGAACACCATCACATGTACTACCTCTATCAGTGCAATGGCAGAAACCTCTAACTTCGACGGAGTCAACCGACAATAAGCCCATGTAATACTTTGATATCAATAAGTAGGATGGTATCAAGTAATAGTTTGTAAATATATAGTTTAATCTAGGTGGTAGTTTAGTTAAAAATTGCCTATTGTCTGGTTTTGGTTTCCCAGTGAGACTGTAGAACTAGTGTTAGTTCCTCAATGAACGATGTTAACATGCAATGAGGTTTATGCTAATTTGCCTGTTTATTCACAGTACCAGGGAACCGAGCTTTGCTAGGGAAAATCATTAGTATATCTGAGAGCAGTGTTTGGTCAATGTAATTTGTCAAAATCTTTTGTAGTCTATCTTTTATCTGTTAAATTGGCAATTGTAGTTGATACCTACTTGATAAGAACAGTAATAAATATTTAACATATCATAAGAGAATTGTAAAACGTATTTTTAACACGAATAGTACATTTCTACTATTTTCAAACCGTACAGCTACACTACTTTGGGCGAGCGAGTTGTCTAGTGGTTAGAGTGCGGGACTTTGGTTCCTGAGGTCTCGGGTTGAAATCCCGCTAAATCACCAATGTATTTTATAAAAGTGATAATGCCACAACCCCTACGCCTTGGTGAAAATTAGTATTATGGTGTTTTAGCTGTGAAGTATTTTTAAATCAAGGGATGTTTCGTTAAGTGATGTAACAACTCCAATAAAATCGTGGATATAACTGTACTTCTGACAGGTGATTTGCAACAAATGCTTTTCTGAATCATTCGGAATGAACACAGTAACTCCTAGAATCATGCATGCACATTAAGTATTTTATTCCATTGACAGTTATTCCTGGCATTGTAAATATAAAGAATAATCCTAAAATTTTGACACCTGAATTTGAAGAAGTTGCCATGTGAAGTAAATGTCATACCTGTTGGTTGCATTGCTCGTTCTGTATTTAATTTTTTTAATCACTTGAAAGAGTGATGAAATATTAGTTTAAGAAATGTATATCGTACAATGAAGAAACACTATAATCAAGATTTTAAAAAGACAGCCTCCGAAGATATGTTTTTTAATTTTTATAGGTTTTCCGAACTTAGACATAGTCATTCGTGACTTAGACATTCAGTTGCAACTTGTATACAAACGATTTCCATAATGAATGTTGAAGAATCGATTCATCTTTTCGCTTACTCAATATTGTGTAGATATTGTACTGCGACTGTTCGTTTTTAGCTTAGCATGTAAATCGAGGAAACGGAACGACGTGTTTAGACCTTTTTATAGCTTGTAGATTAGTGCAGCAACACAACGTTTTAGATAACCACACCCCATAACCTCCCCATTCACCCTCTAATGGATACAAGAGCCTGTTACATTCCCCAGGCCAGCGGGTTATCTGAAATTATCACAAGAACCCTCTGAAGACCAGCCGAGGCTTCATCCCCCGCTTTAAATTAGTGTTAAAGTTTGTAGTGTTTGAAAACAATTTTTATCAATAACTGGTTGGAAGATTGATATCTTCGAAACTTGTTTATAAACATGTCTTTTCGTCGAAAGAAATTTTTTTGCGCTAAGGTGACTGGCGTGGAGGGTTTCTGTGGTTCTGATATATACAGTTTCAATTATGAATTTTATTAATTGTATTAAAGCTGACCTAGAATTAGCGTGTTCTTCGAGGGCTTAAAGAGCTATGCGTTATGTGCACACTCACCTATTATTATTATGCTGGGATTATGTTACGCCAGAAAATCAAAACTGGTAAGATAAAAAAAATGTTCGGAGCTGTATGGTGTTGGAGGTTTTTACCTACATTAAAATTGCTACTTTATAAATTGTATTTCCTGCATTCTTTTTAATACCAGGTATACTACGGTATTTTCATACAGCTTCACACAACTTTGGGGAGAGAGTTGTCTAGTGGCTAGAGCGCGGGACATCGGTTCCGTAGGTCCCGGGTTCAAATCCCGCCAAATCACCAATGGATTTTTGACAAAGTGATAATGCCGAAACCCCTAGGTCAAGCCATAAGTAATGTGACAAATCAATTCCGGGCTCATGCCCAGCGTCCTAGGAAAAAAATACCTCATACAATACGTTAATTTAGACACGTGAGTATTTTTCTCAATCGCCATCCTTTTGTTGTCCAGTAAAAAGGCACACAAACCTGTAACATATCTCGAAAACAGACAACATGCAATAAACTAGTCCAGCGGATAAACAAATCAAAACGCATTCCTAAGTAGCAGGACCTCAAATCTTTGGTGGGCAATAAACATCCAGCAGCCATATAATAGATTATATTATATATAGATGACGGCAAGCAGACTGCGGCGCGTGGTTGGTCAGCTATCATCAGGTCACGTGACCTCTCACCCTTGTGTGCGAACTTGGTGGAGAAGGGAGGGTTATCTTATCCGTCACGTCCGGTGATAAGAAGGCGATAAGGTGTGAATTTCGACGCTGTGAACCTAGAGCTATCAGCTGTTATGAAACCTACTATTGGCCGAGACGATGGTCCATTGAGAAACCGCAGGTTGCAATATTTCAGGATCATTGATGACTTTCTATCGCCGATTGGCTGATCGATGAGGTCTCGGTGACCTCGTAATCTCGTTCATTCATGTTTCTCAATCAATGGACGCTGATTGAGGAAACATAAATTTCAGTAACACTTTATCTGACTGGATAGAATATTAAGATAGCTTTGATGTTTCAATTGTTAATAATTGACTGTTTTACTTGTGGATACTGCAATTAAGAGCACAAATAAAATAATATTGTACTTCAGCATCAGATAATGTTTTATTTCTGTATTTTTAGTATTGATAATGTTTGCACGAACATACTAAACTTACCATTATGTCAAACGAATGTAACCTTTGAGGAGACCTGCGTTTCACTGTAGACATGAAATGAGTTTACAAACCGTCCTACAACTGCAACATAAGTGCTTCTTATCCTAGCAACGCAGTATACATTGTAGCTTGTTGCTTGTAGCACAGCTATAAATAGCTACAGACGCACAGTAGATAGCCTCAGTCTGCCATCTGTTCCATTGATCAGCTGATGTCTTATCACAGATGGACATGTGCGAAAATAGCTGTGATCTGTGATAAGCAACGACGCTTGAAGCCTCTCAGAGCGTCAGAGCGGCCTTGTGTGGTGAGGACAGATGTGGTGTGACGACACTGCAACTGATAATGTGGTGTCTAGGATAGGAACTAATGTCCGAATATAATAAATACATTAGAAGCGTATTGTGCTTAAATCAATAACAATAAAAATAATGCCCTGAAACTTGATGATGATTTTCCAATACGAATCTCACCTAATATTACGCATGTGGTTACTTAAGTTGAATTTGAGTTTTGACATCATAAATAAGTTACCACAGGAGTCCATGTTTCCCCACCATCACAACCTCTCTTCCAAGTTTCCTAAAGTTTGTACTCACTTGATCATTCCATCTTAATCTTGGTTGATCCTTCCTATAAATGTCGCTCTTTCGGATGATCCCTCCACACTCTTCTTATTATTGCATCTCCTATTCTTCTCACATGTAATTCTTTTTATCATTCTCAATACGCCCTCCAAATTTGACCCATACAACATTAATTTCGAGAGGTTATTACCTATTCTTAATCAATGTGCGTTGTTAAATCTATACCACAAACACATACAAGATCACTGGATGTAATACCACTGTGCACACTGTGGATAATTATTTTTGAATATCTATTTTACCGGATAAACTTACAAAACAATGACTTAGCTTAGTGACGTTTGCCTTAGTTTAGTTGGTATGTTTCTAGTAAAGTGATTAACCGCTTTTCCCCGCCGTTATCACGATGACTCAAGGTCGTATTATCAGTGATAGCCGCCATATTGACAGCTGCTGGTACCAGTCACAGTTCTCAATACTGATACAGTACAGCTGTGATTGACGTAGTAGGTAATCCCTATGGACTAATTGAAATTATTTTCTCTGTAAAGAAAGAGAAACCTTTACATGTTCTAAAAATTTTCTTTGTAAAGTATACATTTATTCGACATAGTGTTTACAACATACTTTTTATTCTAGTGTGCTTCAGTATCCAAACCAAGGTATATGGATCAGATGAACCAATAGTTTAGACAAAAAAAACCGGTGCATTTTCTGCTACTGAGCGTGCTACGATTCTATTTTGTCTCTTGGGTTACGATTATTTTGTATAATTGATGTAACATAAAATATAATCTATTGTTCAGTGAAATCTTCCCTCAGTCTGGTTTGGTTAAGAAGGTTGCGTATAAAACAGAAATTAGTAATTTTCATCATTGCATTTTGTTAATGGCTCAATCAAACTATATTAATTGTACCATGCAACCGGCTGTAACTTAAACATTGTAATAGGTTGTCTAATTGGATCAGTAGTCAAAGAAATAGCATAAATTAGCAAATAGCATCAGTATGTTAATTAATAACCCATACAGCTAATACCTGATGTAACGTGTCTGTTGCAGGAGTGTAGGGAGCCGTGAAGATGGACACCATGATGCGGGGAGACGAGAGAGCCGCCGGGGTTATATCCGGCGCCGACCCCTACAGAGAGCTGGAACTGTACCTCGAGAAAGTCAGCGTAAGTAACAACAAAAATACAACATCAACAACATTACATTATAGTAAATACATACACACCTTTGCCATATCCACTTAGGAAAAATGTACTCGAGTGGAAATCAGGTTATCCAAAATAACAAAACCAACAGCGCATGTAGCCTATACTAATTGCGCGATCGCGAGTGATGAGTTGACTTGCGTGATCTGTTTTTAAAACGACTCAGGAACCCTTGGTGAAGTAACGTATTGTAACTATTATTCATTCAAATTGATCATGATCAAGAAAAAAATAACTTTATCATTAAGTATTCACGTTCTGAACATAACATGTGTACAGTACTTCATTCAACTGCAAACGAAGCAAATTGTTAAGAATATTTACATGCAGTAACCTTTTGTATCTAAACCTGAACGATGACCAAGCAATTTTTTTTCTGAAATAAAAGTGGTTAAAAATAGAGCAAGTAGCATTCTACATCAAGCGCTTCAATGTGTCCACAAATAATCTTCATATTTTACCATGCAGCACAACACACTCGACAGATTTACTCATGCAGCCACGCTGTGCACATAAAGTTGCCGGCCTCAAACAAGACGTCTGTCCATATCACAGATCTCGTCTTCATACTTCCACTCCGATACATAAACACATCTCGTCCCCGGAGAGCTGCATTATCGGCGGGAGATTTGTTTACTTTCCCGCCAGAAGCTAGGTTATATCCGTCTCCGGAAGCTCATGTCACGGTCGGTGTCTTCCTTCCTCAGTCTGGAGACAAAAGTCGGGTAGAAAGGTCACTTAATTGACCCGCGCAAGTGTGAAACCGGAAGTGACGTGTGTTGGTGTAGGGAGCGGCGCTGGAGCGTGCATCCTAGGGTGGGTATTGTCTTGATGGGTAAAATTAAATTTGCTTCGCTTATATTGGTTTTTTCTGTAGTAGCGTATTCAATTGTCGCTCTTATACGTTTTATTATAAGTCGGGAGGTCGTGGGTTTACTAATATTCAGGTGCCAGATTTAGTAGAGAATCGAGAGAGAGATTCTTTTTAAAAATGAATCTTCTCGGTGTAGTGTTGTTGAATAACGTATCCTTTGAAACCTAAAGTGAGTGAAGTGTCTACTATTGAAGAGGGTACATCCTAATCTACTTGATGTAATGGGGTCTTTGTTTTACTGTACAACGGGTCTTTGTTTTACTGTACAACGAATTAATTTGCTGTATTAAGTTAGAATTTTCTGTCTGTATGATTTAGTTGTTCACTTTTATAAGTACCTACTATGAATCATAATAGGTTGTAACTAATCTCATCAGGTACTGGAGTTCATTGAGATCTTTTTTACAAAATAATATACCTTCCCTGACAGGATTGTTAAATAATGTCTCTATTGAAATCTACTTTGAGCGAAGAGTATATTATCGATGAACGATAATCAAATTGAGTTCGCTTCACTGAAATATTCTTTATGTATAGGACTCGGTTGATCCCTTTTTTAAGTCCTCTGTGATCAGACAGGGTGTAGTTCTACTAATCTCCTTCAGGTGTCAGATTTAATGGAGGGATCCTTTTTAACAAAACACCTTCCCTAGGCGGGAATGTTGAGGAACGTAATCGTCCATAACAACAGTGAGTGAAATGTCAATTCTTGTGGAGTGCACATCCTATAATTCTGGCTTTTGTGGGTACTGTCTTTGTTGGATGAATTTGCTTAACCTAAATAGGGGTTTTACTTCTAAGTCCTGGTTGGACCCTTTTATAAATACCCTGGGAAATAAATAGGATGTAGATAAAAAATCTCCTCCAGGAGACGAAAGATCAACGAAAAGTTAATAAAGATTACAAATGTGCATCAACCCATTGACTTTCTATCTACTAGTCTTACTGGTTAGTCTATTGCATATTTTTTACATGTTGGTATTGGAAATTTAAGTTACTCTAGTTGCACTAAGGCGTTATATTAATTGGGGAAACAAGACAAAAGATGAAGACACATTTTTTAACTTGTGTAAATGACGTCACTAGTTACGGTGTGAGACTTTGCTCTGATCGCGTCTCTCATAGGATGGGATGGTGCACACGTGTGTACACGTCACTATGGAGCTATTAGCAACGTTATTTATGACGTCTCTACGAATTAAATATACGATAAACGTCAACGTGTGTTTATGTTTTGTTGCGTCATTTGTAATTTCTTTATCGCACGAAATAAGTTCTGGCTTGTTAGATTGTTTTTGCTGCTCTAAAGAACCGTCAATATTTAAAGTTTTAGAATTTAGTCAATGGTTGTGGTTGTAGGCTTAAATTGCTCGATGTTGATTATATTTTTCATGGAGTTTGTGGGAACGTATTTCTTATAGTTTTTTAAATTTACCAACATTTAGTGAGCTATTACGATTGCGAAAAACTATAGGCATTACCACTTCAGTGAATGATTACTTGGTAAAACAATCTGTGTGGTTCATAAACAACTAACTCTTTTTCTTAAAAACTATATGAACCTAATCATTATACTACCGTAAGCTCATTGACTCATACATAGTCAACTGTTTTCCATTAATGCAGTTTTCATAGAAATAAATATCTCAATGAGACGTTCTATAAAAAATTATTGATACATGCTGAATTCAGAAAAGGTATTGTAACTGTATACAATAGTATTATTTCTTAAATAGTGGCAGTGCTCTTACTTGCTCCTATATCATACTCAGAATTGTATTACTAATCGTTAAATATAACAGCAAACCCAATAACAATTTAATAGTCAAAGAAGATAATGATAACTCAAGTCAACGATACCTAACCCATTACATTGACTGAGGTACACAAAACAACTACAGTTTCTCCCAATCGCCACACAGATCATTCCCGCCACTTCTTCCCAAACTCCCGCCATAATTCCCCCAATCCCCGGGTGTCCACGCGGCTCATTACCTTACTTTACTGCTGCGTCTAAGGCCGGTATTTATAGGGTGTCACCGCACCACGGCACCACGGCACCACTGTACCTGTGTCACTGTACCTCTATGTTTGTGGCCGCGGGAGGCTGGTAAATAGAGTTATCTCGCTGACTAGACATGTTTACGGCTCTCCTGGAATGTTAGGTGTCTAATTAAGGCGACGGGGTTTAATGAATTAACTAAGTAACGGTTTTAAGGAGATTTTGTTCCTTAAGTATGTACTAGTTAATTAGTGTTTGGAATGTGGGATCACAGAGTAACTTTGATAGCAACAGAGTTACACATGGATTTGCTAAACGTTCCAAATAAGTAATTAGCCTTCGGTTTCCACCTCATAATTTGAAATCATTATCTGGTCAATAACAGCTGTGATAGGTAGTACAAAAGATTGTTGTAGATATGTTTGCTATAATGCTTGCAAACCACATCTATGCTTCATTTTCGAAAATAATGATGACAAAATGCAACAATGTTTCAAACAACAACACTGTCTCTGATAATACTGTTTCCAAACCAACAATGTGATCATTGAATTACTCCAGTTTGTCACAGTACACACTTCCCCAACAGTTCGGCTGTCAACACTGGAGTATTGTGTTACTGGAGTACTACACTCCACTCCAGTCATGTAATGTCGTGCTCCGTGCTGCCATTGGCTCACGAACACTTTGTCAATCATTCCGCGTCAGTACAACAAATGGCGATTGAGTGGTGCTAATAATGGGTTGCATTATGGGGACTCCTTTGAATATTTTTTGTCCGCTTTTCTATATCAAATTAATCAGAGTAAATCGGATGAATATCACTAGATTACCTTATTTTATTCAAACTTCACAAATATATTAATTTAAGATTTGTCTAGGCAGATATATTTGCAAAACCTAGGAAGCATTATCGTTGGATTAAACGACTTGTACGGCCAGACCCAATTTTATAGATTCAGTTAGATCTTAAGAGGCACAATAGTGCCAATATACATTAGGGTTAATCAAATATTTTAACATTGTAAAACACCAAACGTACATGTAATATTGATAATTAAGCATTTTTAAATGTTTCCAAACTTAGGTTATATGTTACCTAACATTCATTCGTCAAACTTAACAAGGGGAAAAAACACTATATTTGTTGCCATTAAGGGCTTGCCATGATGTAAAAAGCTCTGTAGCTTTTTCTGGGGAAAGGCTGTAGTGGCAGGGCAGAAATATTTATGAAATTTATTTCACTATTTTTATCATCAGATAAGTGGAACTACATCTTTCATGTATATCTCTCAAGAACGGGACTTTTTTTGCCTCTTTGGACGCTGCAAATTGGGTACCAGGCGATTCCACTAGAAAAATACTCAATCGCAGTACAGTATTACCGAAGTCATCCTAGTACCGACTTAAGAGTGGCGACGTTCCTGTTCACTACACCTTGAGTTGTTACTGCCAATTTCTTCGCATTCACCGTCAACAAAGGTATTGACCCTCTCCACTATTGGCTTTCCGATCTTCTCTTCGAAAACCATTCTGCCTCGTCCATCTTAGGCGAATAAAAACGCAAAACAGTGTGAAAAGTTTATCAATGCCTCCGTACGTAAATCTAATTGTATCTGTGTCCCTAATGAAATCTGTTTTACCCTACGTACTAAAACCTAACCAAGTTCAAAAAATCTTCCCCCAATTTCTACTAGCTAAATACGTGATTCTTTTCGTATGCAAAACATGTGTTGCAGGTTGCGTAAACGCACATTCCAGTTACAAATCACGCAGTAAGTCCAGTTTGAGCGCTTGGCAGCGACTGAGGGTATTATGCAAACACCCGCTGATTCGCCATAGTTTATTGACTGTTAATAGCCACCTCATGCATCATGCATTTAACCAAATTTCGTCCCGGATCGGCCCAGAGCCGCTAATCGGTGTGTGGATTTAAATAAGCAATTAGGATAGTTAGGATTTTTTTGAGCTAGAATGTAAAGTTTACCATGGTGTTGTATAGAATTTGCATTTATACGATGTGTAAAAAAGTTGCAAGTACTTTGATTTGTGTAAGCTACCGGTTTCAAATTGCTTGATGTGAAA